ATTCCTGTGCACACGTACATGTGTGTGCACGCACACACACACAGAGCTTTACCCACGAACCGCAAGAGGATCTGGCTCTCCCTTTAATCACATCATGGTCCCAGAGTGAATAGCTCAACTCTGGGAGCCCCAGAGGACACCCAGAGCCTGAGCCAAAAAGAAAGCACCAGGAGTTTGTACAACAAGAATCACTACAGACAAACGTGATTGCTTTTTTGATTAGTGAGAGGAGGGAATGGATTTGATACACTGTCTCGTAGAATATTGGCAATTAATCCCCAATTGGCTTGGTAATGACATTGTCATACAGACTGGAAACTGGTGAAAAGACCACAGAGGGAGGACAGAGACAAAGGGAGATGGGGAGAGCTCAGGGATCAGGGTAGCCCATGTTGGGGACTTGGGGTGGAGTGGTGAACAGAAGGGGGTCACGGGGCAGGCTGGCTGCTGGGACTTGGACAGTTCATGTCTAGGCTTCCCCCTGAAAAGGAGTGCACATGCAGCCCCGGGCCTCTTGACCCCATCTTGGCCTCTGACACCACCTCTGCCATTAAGATGCACAGACGGCCATTTCCAGTGCAGACCGAGCCGGAAACTGCTGCACTCGTTGCATCCTGCCCGTCTCCCCTTGGATGTCTTACAAGTAGGAATCTGGCAGCAGCCTCATCTCCCTCCAGCCTGCTACACCCCCAGGGTTTCCTATCCCAGTGAATTGAACCACCAGAAAGCTGGGCATCATTCTTAAGGCCAGCAAACGTTTCCATTTCTCCCCTTCCTCACTGCCTCTGCCATCACTGGATCTCCTTCATGTCTCCTGGACTCTCAGAACACTCCAAACTAGTCTTTGTTGCCCTAGCCTTGCTTTGCCTCCTGTCACCTGGCCACAAGGCAGCCAGAGTGAGCTTCCCAAAATGTAAAGGTGTTCATGCCATTCCTTTATGCCCCACCACCCTGGGATAGAGAAAGCCTAAATTAGCCTTTAGTGATCTCTCTGCCTTATTCACATTCTCCTTGGCATGTCACCCTCCAATTGATCCAAGGCCTTCACAGTTCAAGCCCAGCCCACTTGCCGGATCACTTTCCTTCCTCCTCACATGTTCTTCATGTTACTGGAAACAGTCTCCCCTTGGCCGAGCCCTGCTTTCCTTGAAACCTGCACTGAGACGTCACAGCCTGGGCAGTGACACCCCTCAGCTGGTCAAGTGGGTGCTCCTGCAACAATAATTGACACTATTGAAGATGCACTAGAAACCAGGGGCATAGATCATCTCACAACCCTAAAAACCATCCCATGAGGAGGTATGAAGATGGTACCCATTTTACAGCCTGCAAGAATAAGAGCCTCAGAGCTGATGAGAAGCAGAGCTGATGTCCAAGCCAGGTCTCCCACCCTGAGCAGGATCCACCTCTCCATATGCCCCTTCTTGGTGGTTCCAACTCATGCAAAGCAGATTACCATAAGCTGCTTTCCCCACAAAAACGGTCAACCAGCTACTCAACACGTCTGTTTTCCTTGAGACTGAAGCTTAACCCTTCAAGTGAAGTGCTAAGTGTTGAGCCATGCTTCAGTAATGTTTGTACTGAATATGTTTGATAAAGTCCTTAGCCTCAGGCTGCCACACATACTGCCTCCAGGTCCTGGCCTGGACAGGGCTCAAGAGACCTGTGTTCTGGGGCTAAAGGGAGAACTGTTGGCCATCCTCATTCAAAACTTCCAAGGCTTCCTGCCCTCCAGGAGCTCCTAGGCCAGGTGAGACAGATTCAAGAATGAGTTATTGTGTGGAGCAAGCAATATAGGAAGGTGTCAGATGCCCTTGGGCTTTTTGAGTTCTTGAGAACTTTTGAGTTGTTTTTTTTTTTTCTTCCCATTTCATGCCTTTGAAAGGTGCCTGGGTGGCACGAACAGTTTGCACTCAGCTACTAACTTAGAAGGTCAGCAGTTCGAACCCACCTGGTGGTACTGTGGAAGAAAGGCCAGGCAATCTGCTTCCATAAAGATTATAGCCAAGGAAACCCTATAGAACACAGTCTGTAACACATGGGGCCACCATGACCTCTGATAACACATGGAGTCAGAATGGACTCAATGGCAACAGGTTATTTTTCTTTCCTTTGGTTTTGGCTTTGGTTTTGATGCATTTGACACCATTTTCTCTTATCATGGGTCTGCCTCAAGGCGTGCATCCCTTCCCTCCCCTTCCTAAGATTGTGCTTCTCATCTGATGAGACCAGAGACAGCAAATCATCACAGTGGTTCAAGTAATATCTAAAAATAGAGTAACTAGGTTCTGAGTGAGGCCCCAAGGGTTCCTCTGATTAAAATGTATGAGCCTTGATATAGAAACGGCAGTTTTTCTTTACAACTTCCTTTTGCTTATTGAATGGTTCTGGGCCATTCTGGGTAGGCACATTGCCAGTGATAAAGGGGTTGGGATGGTTCAGGGGAGGGCAGGGACCATGCTCACTTCTTTGGAGCAGGTATTTGATAAATTCTCAGTGGTTCCTAAGTGTGGGGTTCAGTGATGCTGAAGACCAACCCAGGCAGACAGGCAGTGACTCAAGAGGGAGATGACATTGAAAATCAGCCATGTTCTTTTCAAGTCCAAGAAAAAGCTGTGGAAAGAGAAACAAGCAGGTGAAGAGGGGAAGTCATTGCAAACCTTAAAGAGGTTTAATAAACGCTTAGAGCAGATGCAAAGTCTTGTTTCAACAGGACATGAGGACCTTCTTGCCACAATTTATGTCTCCTTATAGCTGGCTTAGGAGCTCTGGTGGCATAGTGCCTAAGGCACTTGACTGCTAACCAGAAGGCTGGCAGTTCAAACCCACCAGCCACTCCTCGGAAGGAAGATGGGGCAATCTACTTCCATAGTGATACTGCCTGGGAAACCAAAGGAGGGGTCACTATGAGTCAGGTCCAACTCGATGGCACATAACAACAACAACAACATAGTTGGCTCAGGAACTCTGGTGGCATAGTGCCTAGGACACTTGACTGCTAATTAGAAGGCCAGCGGTTCAAACCCACAGCCACTCCTCAGAAGGAAGGTTGGGCAATCTACTTCCGTAGTGATACCGCCTTGGGAACCCAAGGAGGGGTCACTATGAGTTGGGTCCAACTCAATGGCACGTAACAACAACAACAACATAGTTGGCTCACTGCATGAGTAAAAGTAATGAAATTGCCAATGAGAACATGCAAATTCTGAAAGAAAAGAGCTGATTAAAGTTGCAGGTGGATTGCTCATTTGTTGCAACTCAACATTTAAAGAAAATGTGCAAACACAAGTCTCTTTTGGCAAGAAGCAATGAGTTATCAAGAAGCATGGAGTCTTGGAAAGCAGCAAAGTTAGGAAAGCATATTGTCTTCTTAATAATAAATACATTTTGTGGGCAAAAATTGCAAGGGAATTGTTTAAATTAATTTCTGCTTCGTTTGTTTGGTTTGTACAGTGCTTAAGTCCCAGCGGACAGCAATCTGTAAAAGTTCTAACATATTGGAAATCTGATTTTCTGACAGTCAGAATCCCATAGTCCGAAATGATTTCTCTTTCGACCCTGATAATCAGACAGGCAGGGCTCAAATGGACTCTTAGTCTAACCAAACCACACCTAGTCTTTTTGGGGGTATAAAAAGTATCTAATGAAAGTGTTAGATCCAGAGCTGCTGGCCATTTCTCTCTGGAGAGTTTGGGGGATAGGGGCTCAGTGAGATTAAAATAAAGGAGAGGTGAGTGGGAAGACCTGTCCCCACCACTCTTCTCAATGGGAGGCTTTGACAGCCCTGCCTCCTTTTTCTGCCCCACCCCTTCTAGAACATGCCTGGGGAAGTCAGAGGAACTCCAAAGGAGATGGAAGGGAGATCATTCCAATGTGGAATTCAGAGTGACAAAAGAAAAGACTTTGACCCTGTCTTTGATCTTAGCTCTGGTGATATGTTGCCTTGAGACTATCCTCTTCAGATTGACATCCACCTAAGGGTGGGTGCCTGCCTCTTCCTCAGACTCTCCAATTTCTATTGTGACATGGACCTGATTGGCTTCTCGTGAGGACCCTTTTCTCCACCTCTGCCTGCAAGCTGCCCCCACAGTGCTCTGGGCACAGGCCACTAGCCGCCCAGAAGCCAGGCCATGCAGAGTTGCCTCACACACATGCTAGCCCCATGTCATCAACTCCTCAGCCCCACCGACCCAGGCCTTGATGACGGGCCATCTAACAACTGTCCCTCCTCACAGTCCACCCTAAACATTCCTGAGCTTGAATTCTACCTTACTCTGCAACTGGCTCTGTCTGACTTCTGGCTGTTTTCCAAATCAAATCCATCTGCAAAAATACAAGTTTATACTTAAAAAAAAAAAAAAAAAAGAAGAAGAAGAAAGAAAGAAAGAAAGAAACTTATGACTAAGCAAGTACAAAAATAAATTCTAATTAAAAAAACAAAAAATGGGCACATGCATCAAGTGTCTCATAGACTCTGGCGATCAATCCTAAAACCCGCTGCCACTCCCACCCTTAGTGGGGTTTAAGATCCTGTCAGCCCAGGGTCGCCTTGCCTGGGGGCTCCTTAGCCAGGGAAGTATGGAGTGGGTGTGTTGGAAAGTGTTTCAGTTGACTCTACAACCTCACAGTTCTCTCCTGTACCCCACCAAGTCTTCACCTAGGGTCTATGAATGAACTTCAGAATAACTTCAAACCCCTAAAATTATAGGCAAAATGTATACAGATGTGTGTTTCACTGGTCCTTGGCTTTCCCTGATTTCTCAGATTGTAGGGGCACCAACTGTAATCTGTGTGTGCCCACTAACGTCTCCCTATAGTGCTTCTTAGATCCTGCCCCAGAGCTTTAATCTTGGTTCTGCAACCAGTCACAGGGCCGTCCTTGGCCACCCTGGACCTGGGGGCAGGTGTCTCTGGCCCTTTCTTGCTCCTTCTCTGTTGCGCCGTCTTCCTTCCTTCCTTCCCTCTTTCCAACTGAACTCTCGTTTTTCCTCTCTCCCTAGTGCTTGTACGGCTGCTATGTCCATTCCTCCATCATCCCCACCTTCCACCGGAGGTGCTACTGGCTCCTTCAGGTAGGTGGCTGGGATTGGATTCTTCTTCTGTCACTGATGCTGGGGAAGGGTCTGTGGAGGGTGCTGAGTGGGCGTGGTGTCCTGAGTGTGGCACGGCTTTGGGCAGACATGCCCTGGTGAGCTTGTCTACAGAGACTAGAGGTGTGGGGAGGCAGGGCCAGTGTTGTGGTTAGTCTAGTGTTGCCTGGTGCCAGGAAGGGGACAAGTCTGATGGTGGGGTAGTCCTCACTCACTCAACAAGAAATAAAACCTACTAGGTGCTTCAAGCATCCAAGGTGCACATGTTTGCTTTTTGTGAGGCCAAGATAGAAGGCTGAGCATCACCTCCCCCACCTGGGAAATGCCTGTTGGCTATTGGTTAGTCATAAGGTATTATGGAAAATAGGCTCACAGAGGCATGCTGGTTGCAGTCAGATTGGTGAATTGGCATGGTTGCTGGGAGAGGTGGAGCCTCTGGTTCAGCGGGAAATAGCTCTGTAATTGATTTGTGATGTCTGCTGTGGATCAGGATGGAGACTGCCCAGTTGCAGTTCTTTGTAAGAGCCACCTGTGTCCCAGAATGCTGGCTGTGTGTAAGGTCTGTGCCCAGCTGTGCTGAGCCAGGTGTGGTCTGTGTGGAGACCCGCTTACCTTCTTGCTGATTGGGGGATGTCTGTCCAGCTGGCTTGCCTTGTGTCTCAGGCTGAAAATGCTGTTGCTGGGGGGGGGGGGGGCTGTGAGAATGGGAAGGTCTGAGAGATTTATGTAGGCAGGCAGGATCTGGGTCCTTTTCAAAGCTTCTGCTGATGTCCAACTACTCTTTTTGGAGCCATCCCTAGGGGCCCAGCACTGTCACCCCAAGTTCTTCCTCTACCGGGAATCACTGTCTCTGGCCTTTCCCACTACTGACCCCACTGTTGTTCAAGTCAGCAAACCCCTGGGCCTCAGTGGTCTGAGATCTCCCTGACCAGAGTATGCGGTTGGAAGGGGTCAGGCAGCTAGGGAGCAAGGTCCTTCATGAGCATTGCATGAGTTCAGAGAGGAAGGAGCCACAAATACCAGGCACTAGCCCACTGCCCAAGGTGGCCTGCCAGTGTCCACGGGGCCCAGAGCCTCAACACGCCCTCTCTGGCCAGGACTCCACCAGCCCCAGCCTCCACTGGTCCCATTCTCCCTTAGTTCCCAGAAATCTGTCTGTCTGAGATGGGCTGATTTACAGACATAGCTGCCCCTGCCCCACTCCCCTGTGATCAGTCCCCTGCCTTTGTCTCCCTTGGAGGTTGACCTGACAGTACCTGGTGTTCTAATTGCTCAAGACTGCTTCCTCAGGAAGGGCAATCTAGTGCCATGGATGGTACTGTTGGTATTGTGATAATGAGAATGGGCTCAAAAGCATTCCGTGATTTGTCGAAGGGTGTCTTTTCTCCTGGGCTGTGGGCATGGAGGGGGTTCTACCTCAAGAACAGAGCTCTGGCGGTGTCAGAGCCCATCCCTGCATCTGAGGTCACATGCTGGCTGCTGGAGGACCACATATGATCCAGCAAATGCAGGCTGAGTGGTGTGTAGCCCTTGTAACCTCCTTCCTCATTCTCCCAACCCCTAGATGAGGTTCTGGCATTTTTCCTGTGCACTGCCCTACAGCCCCATCCTAACACCTCTTTCCTACACTCTCTCTCCAGCCTAGCCTCACTGGTGCTGCCTGTTGGAATGGCACCCCCAGATGCTGGCTGCCTGCCAGCTTGCCCCTCTGCCACAGCCCTGGCTGTCTGCATTTTCCGGATGCTTCCTCCCCTCCTCTTGCACCCACGCCTGCCTCCTCTCATTCCATCACACTCTTGTGGCTTTTTAATTCCACTGAATTTACTTTCCTGGAATCAGACACCATTGGGCAGCTCCGAGGTCTGAGCTCATTACTTTCCAGTCTGCATTCCTTGCACTCTTCCCCTCAAGCCAGGTGCCCCCACATCCAGTTGATCCTGCCTACTTTCTCAGGCCTGGTGAGAAGTAGGGGTGGTTCCCATTCCTCTGCCCAGCCTCCCCTCCCTTGCACTTCAATTTTCTGCCTCTGTGCACTGGAGACATACCTAGGGTGATTCATGTGCATCTGAGTATGTTACCTTCCAGCTGGCAGGGAAGCCAGAGTCTCCCCAAAGGCCTGTATCACAGGGTCACATGTCTCCATGGCTGACTTGGGGCCTCTATTTTCAGTCCCCTGTCCCCAAGGGACTTGTCGCTCCCCCTCCTCTGCATCCTTAAATATCATCACTCTTGATTCTGTGATGTGATCAGGTAACAAAGAAGGAATGCATACAGGTGTTGGGAGGGGCCTGCTGCCCCCCATCTGCTGGGCAATAGGAGGTTAAGGAGCTAAGTCCTAAGCAATTAGTGCCATGCTTATCCTGCCCTGAGCAGAGAATGAAGGAGGCCGAAGGCACCACTCAGGGCAATTTGTTCTGCTGCTAATTACACCACCAGGATAATGATGTCGTGGCCAGGTTTAATTTCTCTGATATTAAATAGGAAAGAAACCAGGAGATGCTGCCCCAGATGGAAATGGGCCCAAGTTTGTCTCTGACACCCATTACTAAGAAAAGGGATGGGTTGGGGTGAAGACCCTGGGCAGTCAGCACAGGGTGACCGAGGAGAGAGGCAGCTTCAGAATGCAACCTGGCTCCCCGGAAGCTGGCTGGGCCTCAGACATGGACATGCTATGGGGAAAAGGGAGGTGAACTGGCCATGGCCCTCACATGCCTACTGCCCAGGGCCAGTGGGAAGAAGGAACAGGGGTCTATGACAAAGGAGAAAGCAAGGGAGTTTACAGAAGAGGGAGGAACGCTCCTAGACAGGGGAGTTCCCAGTGGCCCCAGTCCATTCCTGTCCTGCAGAATCCTCTAGCTGACATCCCTCCAAGGTCTCTTAGCACAGCAGAGACTTCTTCCCACATGTTGTTAAGTGCCATCAAATGGATTCATATCGACCCCCATATAACAGAGTAGGGGAGCTCTGGTGGCATAGTGCCCAAGGCATTTGATTGTTAACCAGAAGGCTGGCTGTTCAAACCCACCAGCCACTCCTCGAAAGGAATACTGGGCAATCAATCTACTTCCATAGCGATACCACCTCGGAAACCTAAGGAAGTGTTGCTATGAGTTGAATTGACTCTATGGCAGTGAATTTGGTTTGGTTTGGTTTGATTTATAACAGAGTAGAACTGCCCCATAGGGTTTTCTAGGTTATAATCTTTACGGAAACAGATCACCAGGTCTGTCTCCTGAGGAACCACTGGGTGAATTCTAACCACCTACCTTTTGGTTAGCAGCCAAGCGCTTAACCATTGCACCACCAGGGCTCTTTTCTTCCCCACATATGCCAGGCTTTTTTTCCAACCTAACTGTGAGCTCCCTGACGCTAGGACTTTGGTCTTCTGTCTTCTCCAAGTACCTGCACAGAGCATCCCCCTGCCAAGGGATGAAGCAGGAGCCAGCACACAGGGAAGGGCAAGGTTTCTGCTGCAGACAGGCCTCCTGCCCTGGGACAGGGATGGGCAAGCTCTCAGCCCTGGGACATGGGGCTCTTCAGCCCTCTTCTGCCCAAAGCAGAGGGTCAGAGGCAGACTCAGGCAGGTGGAGGAGGAAGATGCTGAGTTGACTTGGTACTTGGAGTTTCAGACTTCCCTGGCTTTCAGGGGAAGGCACTGTCTCTTTCTCTGTCTTGTCTTCTCCCTCTCTCTTCATTGCTAATAAATATTTTATTAGGATGCAAGCAAGGAAACAAGTGAGGAACCTGAGCTCTCCCCTAGAATGGAGGGTACTGAAGCCTGTTTAGCACAAGAGTGCATTAGGTCATTGTCATGATCAGTGAGTGCCATGGGAGGTCACCTGAATAGCTCAGGGTGCCCCGAGTGTGGCCATTCCTGCCCATGGTGGGGTCCCAAAGCCCAAGGCTGCTGTGGATCCCAATGACCCAAGTCAGGCCCTTCTCTAGATGGAGCAGAGCTGGAACCTCCAATGTTCCACCAGTAGCCCTGCCTTTGAGGGGAGAGGGTTCCTGTGACCTTAACAAGGTCACTCGCCAGCTGCCATGTACAATTTCTTCTTGTCATGTCCTTGACACCCTTGGAGGCTCCAGGTGACAGAACTGCTGGACCCTTATGTTCCCTGAGCTCAGCTGTCCAGATAGAGCGCTGAAGCCAGAGAGGGCAGGCCAGGCCCAGGAGCCCCAGCTGCTCAGTGGCTCAGGACTGGGACCAGCCTCCCAATTCCTACTTACCTCTGATGCCTGAACATAGCTGTCACTGCTGCACCCAGACCCTAAGCCTTGCCAAGGCCAAAGGATGGGTGGCCCTTCCTGCCACGTGCTGCTCCAGGGGTTGGGCCAAACAGAAAGAGCCCCTCTGCCTCTGTGTCTGCTGCTGTCAGTGCTCCTGTTGGGATTTCTAATGATGACCCAAGTGGACAGTCAAGGGACTCTGGACCTCCCTGCCCTCCTCTTGTGTCCTCTCCTCTAGGGCCCCAGTGCCTCCTACTTCATCCTTGGGCACAGTCTCCCCCCACCCCTTGCCTACTCCCCGTTGGAGAGCCAGTTCCCACATCAGCCCACTTCCCAGCAGATTCTGGATGGCTCGTTTGGAAACTATTTCTGCTTCTAATGAGTGTTTTTCTTTGTGCCCTTGTCCTCTAAAATGCTTAATGAATGTTTTCTGTGCTCAAGTGGAGCAGGGGGTGTGTCCCGTGTGTCTGCCATTGCCACTGCCACTTGGGGGCCTTTGGCTGCCTAGACTGGCTTGCTGGGGAGGCGGTACAGGGAACTCACTCCTGGCCCATTCTGGCAGCTCTCCCCAAGGCCTGTGGGTTATGAGTGCTGCTGCGGAAAAGACAGGGAACCTGAGGCTTCTGGGATTGGGAGGTTCCTGGATCATCAGAATATGGTGAACCTTTGAGTTCTAAGATGTTTGGATTCATAGAAGAGCACTGGATCTGGAGTCCAGGAAGCTGGGTTCCAGTTTTTCCTGGATGACCCTG